AGAGATATGTACCTGCTGAGCGATGTTGTTGTTGATTGTATACTTAATGAAAAGCCCTCGTCCTGCGGATACAGAGGATGGGGCGGAAACGGAAGAGGTGAGGCACGTATGCATGCATGTATGTTATTAAATTATTCGCATAGGGCGGGCTCTGATTTATTCAGAGGATAAAGGCCGAACTACTCTAATACTACTGCTGCCACGCAGATGATGATGATGATAGTATAGTAATAATAAAGAGGGGTCCGTTGGGGGTAGGAGGTGAAGTTGTTCGTCGGACCCCCCTTTGGCTTCATTTAATAAAGTCACATCGTGCTGCGTTATTCTCTGTTTTCCGTATTAAATTATTTATCATCATTATTATATTCTTCTCTCCTGCGAAATCCTTTTTCCCCGTCCGCGCGCACACTAATTCGCCCATTTCATCCGCTAATCCGTTTAATTACGTGAATCCTTCCTCCTCCTCCTCCACCCCAATCCACGATGCGTCCGTGCGTGAGAAAGAGATGGTGGTGAATGCTGTGTGTGCAGGGAGCAACGTTCATGTCCTTTGCAACTCTTCGCACGTGACTCTTCGCCGCCGCACGTTTCCCCATTGCGCCGCCTCCTCCACCGCCACCTCAACAATAAACACACTTTGTTTACATCGCACAATCAGAGCAAATTGCGGTGCGGCAATAAGGAACATTCATCCATAGAATTGTTATTATTGGATAGGGAAAGAAAACCTACCGACTTTACCCATTCACCAAAGACAACAATAAACATACAGTGGTACCTCGATATACGAGTGCCCTGATATACGAGTGTTTTGAGATACAAGCCGCCGAGTGAGCAATATTTTGCTTTGAGATGAGAGCAAGATTTGAGATACGAGGAATCGCACACTACACCGCTGTACACGATCCCAACATGCTTTGAGATACGAGCAATTTGATATACGAGCAAAGTTACGGCACGAATTAAACTCGTATGTCGAGGTACCACTGTATATGTATCAAAATTTATTCTACTATTTTATTTACAATTTATTCAACTTACACTTTCAGTAAACCAACAAAATCAAATCATAAATCAAAATTCTATTTATTATTAATTAAGAATCATATTTCATTGATCTTTCTATTCTTTACAGTTTGTTTTTTTTTTTAGTAAATCAAAGGAAAATTTAAATATACATGTATTAAAAATTGTAAATTAAACAAGGTTTAAAGCATAAATCAAAATTGATACAATTATTTTATTAAATTTTCAGTTTCAGCGATTTTATCGAATCGAGGAAAAATAAATACATTATTAAACCTATACCTAATTTCAATCATTTAGAACCTTCATTTACATATTTTTTTTCATTAAAAATGATTGTGATTAATCGATTTTTTTTGAATCCAAATATAATTTAATGTGTCTAATATGCACTTTCTGTAAAATCGTGAAAAGATCATGAACAATCTTTCTATTTAATCCAATACATTCTAAAATGTATAGAATTTCAAACTCTTCAGTAATATGTTGAAGTTTAAACAATGTATTCAACTATTAAGTAATGAAGAAGATGTCTTAAGAATCTAAAATGATTAAGATTCTTAAGAAATATTTGTATGATTTTAATGTTAAATTTAAAGTTTTACTTATAATTTTCTTGTAATAATCGAAAATTTTTATTTAAAAAACAAATATTTGTTTACTTCTTTATGTTCACTACTCCAAGACATTAAAAAAACATATATAAAATGTTATTTGTTTAAGTGCATCCACATCGTATTTGTTCCAATCTTTCATTTGTCAAATCTAGTTATTGTCATTTTTTTTTGCACCATTGTTTTATATGTTTCTCTATGTTTCTCATTGTCAGCTCAATTCATTTTCATATATTTTCCTTTACATTCATTATATCACGTGTTTCTGTGTTTTCTTAAGTCATTTTTGTCTTCTTTTTTTTTGTAAAACATTAATACCAGAAGGCTGAAAGAGGCAAAAGCCCATAGCAGTCTCCATACCATACCTTATAATATAGCCAATATAACTGTAATTCTTATATATAAATACAAGATATTTAAACTTGAACTTCTTTAAGTTCGTGATATTCTCCACTATTATAGCAATAATTCAGACGCTTCTAAATTCATTAAACAATGGTTTAAAATCAGTAATTTTTAGTACAAATAATTGAAATATTTTATACATTTACATGAAATTATATAAGTAAAAGTATTTTATTAATCTGAAAGGTTTTTTTTGTCATAAAACATTGAAAATAGCTTAAATTAATTTTGCAATAATCGGCAATTCATAAAATAGTAATTATTAAGTAATAAAACTTAATAAAATTATTAAGAAATAATCAAGAAAAAATAATTAATTTAGAAATACGAAATTTTGCTAGAAATTTATTTGAAGACAACAATTTCTTTTTTGTCAATTTATATTAATTAAGAAAGATTTATTATTTTGTTTCTATAATAATTTTGTAATAAATCAATGAATTTAATCAAAAAAAAAAACTTATACCATAACAATTTAGTGAACGTAGATTTTAAATCAGATTTCAATTTTCCGTTCGAAATATCTTGATGTAGGAGCAAATTATGGATTTATAAGCACAATCTATATCCCTCATGGGGCGAGAGGGTCGGGGGTTGGCTGTACGGCGAAGAGGGCGCGAAAGCTCGAGTCGGTATCAAAACTGTCTTCTAACTGAATCTACCGCATATTGCTTCTAAATGCCCAATTTACTTCAATACACCAGAGATTATGGGCATAATACCCCTCGGAAAATAAACGCTGCTTCGTTCGGATTGGCCAAACGGCAGAGCGACGGGGGAAATCCGAACGACGCGAACTGCTGCCATTGGTCGAACGCTTCATGCCCCGCCTCGCGTTTGGGTTGTTATGGTTACTAATCTCCAGGTTAGACACAGGTTAAATAGGGGATGAGGACTCCGGCATTTCTCTCTGCCATATACAGGGCGATTTATTACTGCAGCGGCGACCGAAAACCCCGCCGCCTCTTCCATCGTCCGCCCGCTTTAAAGCCGACCAATTTACTCGCGAAACACCTCATTAAAGTTTCTCTTCTTCTTCTACTACTACTTCGTCTTCGTTCGTTCTTTTTATTTTTGTCTTCGTCTCCGTAAAGACTTGATTGCATCATCCAGTGCAAATCCACACCGCAAATGGAACAAGCTGAGAGAAAAGTTCAAATCATTTCAGGATAAAGCACTTAACAGATTTCATTCATTGTTCCAACAAATTCAATATTTTAAATATATTTCAAATACTTAAGTTTTTATTATATAATAAAAATATGTTTAAAACAACTTTTCCTTTCAATTACGAAACCAATCGTTAAAAATGATTACAATTTACATTAGTAATCTCAAATTGAATAAATTTTAAATATTCTAAATTAAAAAAAATGTACCAAATATACAATTTAAATTGAAATAAATCAACAATATTACATTTCACTTATAAATATTAACCATCCAATAGAAATCAATTAGAGATCTCACAGAAACAATACACAATCATGAATCAGAACGCAAATTAAAGGAACATTTTTGGGTTTTCCTACGTGTCTTCTATCATATTTGTAACTTTTGCCAATTTCCTTTAATTAACAGTCAAAGTTAAAAAGAGTTGGAAAATCGAGTGTTTTCATAAATCATCAATTTTCTTAATAACTCAACAAGACACAATAATGAATCAGCACGCAAATTAAAGGAACATTTTTGGGTTTTCGTAAGACACGTATTCTATCATATTTGTAACTTTTTCCAATTTCCTTTAATTAAAGTTAAAAAGAGTTGGAAAGTCGAGTGTTTTCATAAATCATCAATTTTCTTAACAATTCAATATTGAGTTCGTAAAATTTGTATACCAATATCTTTTCAAGTTTCTATAATAATAATCATCATTTTTGAATGATTATATCAAAATAAGTTACGTAATTTGTGTAAAAATTCGGTTGTTATAAAACGTTTGATACTTATTTCTAATTCCATCAATAAATAAGGAAACAAAAACAATTGCCAATCATTATAAATCAATTAAATTATAACTGATAATTTTTAGTTAATATTTGGCAGAAATTTTAAATTGTTAAATAAAAAGTAAACAATAATAAATGGTAACAAACTTTCTCACAAATTGGAAATTTTTATATCCATTTTCTGTCTTTATATGTCGTTGTTTCATTTAATAAATATTAAAAAAAACTAAAACTCTTCATTAATTAATTTCGTTTTTAACCCAAACCAAAAAAGAAATAAGCCGAAAATGCTTCAAAATTTATATTTTATTAATATTTTTGAACTTTTTATTAAGTTAATACTAAATTTATTACAATATTCACTAAATGTAAAAGACTTGATTGATTTCCACTAATAATATATTTAAAATAAATTCTATTGGTTTACAGATATTGATGAATTCAAGTATTATCAAATGTTCCACGATAATTTACTTTTGTTCTATTTAAAAAAAAATCTATTCAAAAAAATCACAGTTTTTGATCTCTTTTTTGTCTGTTTGTTACAAAATGCGAGTACGATATAAAATGAAATGGACGTTCGTGTCGCGAAACGTGTAAAAATTCCGCAAACACGTTTCGACATCTAAAATCCTGCCGTTTTTTTACCATCCCATTCAATTTCAAATATGTACTAGTGTGTGTGTTTGTGTGCATTTGTATTGCAGCAGGAATCGATGAGCAGGAAAATGTTATTTGTTATTGGCCGCCCTCTCTCGCATCTCCGCTCTTTCACATTTGACATTTTATATGTGTGTGTGTGTGTTTCGATTTGATTCCAATTGAATTGTAAATTGTGTACTCTCTGTGTCTATATCCGTCTGCACGTATGTGTGTTATGTAGTGTTGTGTGGGTGGGTGGGTATGTGTGTTGGATTCGAGGCGGGGGTGGCGTGTGTCGGGCGGCGTCGCGCTCGAAACTGCTTTCCGGCATTTAAGGGTTGCAAACGGGGGCGGATCACTTGACAAGAGGATCAGCGGGACGAAATTGCCGTCCGATTGTGTCAGTTTTGCGTTACGACCCCGCCGCTTACCACCCCGAGCCAAAACAAAACGAAAAGCAAAACCGAAGACATACATACACGATCTTCATTCATTACTCTCGATGGACTTCTTATTGGAAAGTGCTTCTGAAGTCTTCATGTGATTTTTTTTTATTGCCGTGCGGAGGGTTTTTTTTGTTGCAATAAACGAAATGGAATCAGGACGGGGGGAGTACACGGAGTTCAAGAAGAGCGTGGACATAACTCAGAATTATCCGGTGAAGACGTCGTTTCTGATAGAGGATATCCTGTATAGGGAGAAAGCCGATGGAGAGGAGTTCGACGGTGGTCAGAAGCTGCCGCAGCCGAGGCCAAAGTTCGGTGCGGAGCAGCAACAGCAGCAGCAAGAGGTGATCAAAACGTTCGGGCAGCAGGCGAAAGCGACGGAGAGGCGAGAGAAGACCGGATATCCTTACTTCCAGCAGAATCCTCTCATGCACAGTTCGCAAGCCGTGCAGAACTTCCAAGGGCAGGAGAACGGCTACATCCAGGTGATGGGTGCACTTGGTGCCTATCTCGGAACTCCATACAAAAGCATAACGGATCCCTATTTCTTGACACAAGGTAACTTTTCATTTTATTACAAATTTAATATCAATCTTCAAATTATTTTTTCTTATATTTTAACAATAATTAAAAACATTGAAAATTTACTTTTGAATTATTTCAATTTTTTCACTATGTAAATCACAAATTAATTAATAATAAAAAAAATGCTAATAATGTTTCTAATTAACGAAGATATTTATTAATGATCATGGAAAACAATTTAAACAAAGATTCCAATGAAAGTACTTATAAAAAAACTACTTTTATTATTGTGTCTAGGAAATGACTTGTAATTGTTTAATAAAAATAAATTTTATATTTAGCAAGCGACGGATTGTTTCTTTTTTTTTTAAAGAAAAGACTAATACGCACTTCACAAATCTATTACAAGTTTTATGAAATAAACCCTGAAATAATGTCTATACTAACAAATACTTAGCAAAGTTATTCAAAGCTTATAATCAAACAACAAAATTTTCTTTGAAATTTTTATTATGTTTATAAAAACTAAAGTTATGTTATAAATCTTCTAATAAACTTTTAAAAATATGATAAAATGTATAAAAATTATATAAGTATAAAGAAAACAGTTTTTTTTAACAAATTACAGTTGAAAATTTAAATTACTTAAAATGTTTGCATATAAATAAAATGCGTAAAATTCTGATGAATTTTATGATTAAAACGTTTTAATTATCTATAATAAATAGAATACGAACAATGAATATAAATAATAATATTATGGTGGAATCGCCGGGTAATTTCGTTTTTTTTAATCTTTAATTACTCGCGCCAGTATAAAAAGTACATCAATTTTCTAAGAAATGATACCACTTCTATATTTTCTTTCCGCCATCTATGACACTTAATGTAACTTATGCCAAAAGTGTTTACTAAATATAATATAGTGTTGGTGTAATAGAAAATATATAGAGTGGGCAATGACGACAATTCTGATTCCGAAATTATTGTATTAATGTATTACAAATAGTTGTAAATCTAATCAAAAGCATTGGTTAACTTGAAAAAGTTTTTTCTTGTCGTAATATTATCATTTATTCACTTTGTCTGGTAATAATACACGGTGGCAATCGCAAGCCCGACAACCGAAATACCGCCAATCAAATTCCCGACGTTCGAAATCCCGACTGTATCGAAATCCCGACAACCATAATACCGACTGTATCAAAATCCCGACTATATCGAAAATGTCAACAATAACATTTTTAAATTATTCCGGACCGTAGTGACTTTTAAATTGTTATTAATAATAAATAATAACAATTAATAATCTAATTGTATTAAAGATTATTTCATAATGTTAAGGTTTATTATGAATAATTCAACAAAATCAAATAAATTAATAATAATTTATTGTTATTAATAATAAAAGTGTAGCACAAGGTGACTACGCTCCGAAATAATTTTAAAATGTTATTGTAAATTTTTTTGATATAGTCGGGATTATGGTTGTCGAGATTTTGGTATAGTCGGGATTTTGATAAAGTCGGGATTTTAATGACGGTCTATCGGTGATATAGACCCAGTCATACATGTGGTGTATAAAATACACCGTGCGAGTAGTTCATAGAAATTTCAGTGCGCGAGTAGTTAAAGGTTAACCCTTTCAGGACAACTGGTTACTGCTGCTAACCACAAATTTAAAAGTTTCTACCAGTTTCTAGTAAATACCATTGTGGAATATATGTTGTCTTTGAGATGGTGGCTTCGTATTTTTTGGTATTTTCTTGATGCTTCCATTGTGAATGCATATGTTTTATTTCGAGAAAGAAATACTAACGAGATGCCATCAAAGATGTTTCGTCTAGCAGTTGCTACTGGCCTGATTTTTGCTGCACCAGAAAGTATAAAACGTGGTAGAAAGTCAAAGGAAACTGCAGGAAACAAATACAAAAAATGTGTGTCACAAGAAGTTAGATATGAAAATCAGCACATGTACCTGAACGGGTAAACTCCCATCGATGTGCATCGACACTGCAGCACATGAAAATAAGTACATAGAACTATTTGGAAATCCTTAACATGTGGGCTTGTTTCTTAATAAAGACATGAAATGTTTTTATTGTTCCACAAAAAGCAATTCGTTGTTGCAAGTCCTAACCACATCCTGAAGGATAATCAGGACATCCTATTCATATTTTCCTACCATAATTTTATTTAAACATTTATTTGTTAATATTTTGTAGAAATAAAAATGTGTAAACCAATTTTTTTTAATTCTGTCCTCAAAGAGTTATATAGAAATTTAGAATTTCTGAAACTGAAGAATAAAAAAAAATACTGCAATTATTTATTTATTGATCATTTATAACAAAGTTGAAGTAAAAATATTAACAATTCTTCAAATCTTTTTGTAATTTCTGTTAATTGTAGATTGTACAGAAACGTATTAATTGCATTGTAAATTAATAAAAACTGTATTAGTTGACGTTAATTAAACTGTAAATTTTAAAAAAATCTGGTTGCAGCTACAAAATATAAAAAAAATATAAATAAATACAGAGAAAAAAAAAAGGTGAGCCGTGTGCGCCTCGAAATTGGTTTTTAATTTATTCCATATTAAATAAAATGACTGCAGGCAAAATTAAATTTGTATAAAAATGCGACGCAACGTACATATTCAATTACATGTCAACAATACAAAAAAAAATATATCATAAATATGAACAGCAACAACGAAATTAAAAAAAAAAACAACAACAACTGTACGAGTGAGAGCGGAAGCGTTTCGGATGAACTCTGCATGCAAAATGGTGGAAATTGCATTAAGCGAACCTCGGAATTCTTGTCCGACAAAAGAATGTTTAACTAGCATCGAAATAATTGTATTGATGGGAAACCGCGCAGCGAAATTACACATTCATTAAACGAATATAATAGGAAGCAATCAAAATGCCAATAGTTTAGTTTATATAATAATAATCATAATAATATTTAAAATGAAAAAGCGACGGCTGCGATATTTATTGCGATGATTATTTTGGCAAAACAATATAATAAATTACAATTTATATACATTTAAATTAAAATAATTAATTAAATTATTGATGATTTGTATGAAATATAGTCAGAAATAATTGAGAAATGCGGTAAATAATTGAAGAAGAAAAAAACTAGAAAATTATTACTTTTTTGCTTTAACTTTTAAAAAATTAAATTACAGTGGAACCTCGCATAACGAGAAGAGATGTCCCGGATTTCGCGCCTTTTACATCACTTTTAAAACTTGTGTACACAAATTATGGGTCAATATAGCAAGCCCGACAACCGAAAGACCGTCTATTAAAATCCCGACTAAGTCAAAATCCCGACAACCATAACACCGACTATATCAAAATCCCGAGAACCATAATAACGACAATCAAAATCCCGACTATATCGAAATCCCGACTACTATAAAAATGTTATTGTAGAAATTTATAATAATAAAAGACACTGTCGGGATTTCGTTATAGTAGAGATTTTGATTGTCGGGATTATGGTAGTCGGAATTTTGACATCGGTAGTCGGGATTTCAAACGTCGATATTTCGATACACCCGATTAAAAAGCCAAAGAATAAAAATAACCATAGTTATGAAAAGCAAAATCATTCAAAATCGAGACCAAGTTATACTTTTTTTCTTCCGGAAAAGAACGCATTATAGTAATTTACATTAGTTTATATTGGAAAACGTGTTTCACTATAGGAGTAAAAATCCGGAAATTTTGGAACGGATTAAACTCGTTATGTTTAATACCTAAAATGTCTTATGAAAACATCAAAAAAACAATAAAATTACATAATTTCTTCTCTTACTTTTCATCAATATTTAAAGTTTATATGTTATAAAAAATTATATGCATCGTGTACATTCTTTTCGTTTCCTAAAAGAAAAACAATTACTCAACATTTCATGTACAAAATGTTCATATTTAAAGTAAAATTCTTATGTATTAAATTAAATTATTTCTGCTGAAAATTGTTATGAAAATATCGAAAGTAATTAATTCTGATTGTATTTATTTTTATTTTCAGGTTTACCGTTCCATCATGCCCTGTTTGGAAATTCGCCAAGTGAAATATCACTGAACGCGCTGAAACATTGCCGACGGCGGAAGGCTCGGACCGTCTTCAGTGATCCGCAACTGACGGGTCTGGAGAAGAGGTTCGCGGCTCAGAGGTACCTTTCGACGCCGGAAAGGGTCGAACTGGCCAACGCTCTGAGCCTGAGCGAGACCCAGGTCAAAACGTGGTTCCAGAACAGAAGGATGAAGCACAAGAAGCAATTGCGAAAGATGCAGGACGACAAAGGAGGCGGCGGCACCGGGAATGCTTCGAACGCCAACGACCAAAGACAAGACAAGAATAATGGTAAGAATATTCAATAATTTAATTATTATTATAAGAAAATTTATTATAACTCTTTCAATTTAACACTCATAACTTACATAATTCATAATTATTTAACAATTATAATAAAATATTTAAAAACAGTTTTTTTTTCATACAATTTTCAGTTAATTACAAAAAGTTTATTTAACGATTTTGATTTATTAATTAAATTTTGTGTCTTGACCCATCAATGCTATCTCCAGATTTGTCTAAGTCTATTCCATATACTCGCAATTAATTCGTCTTATGAAACAAATTATGAACAAAAAATAATAACAATATTTATTGAAAATCTTATATAATTACATAAGAAATAATTTCAACGTGTTTAAATAAATTACAGAAAACGTACAAAGACTTAATAATTACTTAATTATAAAATGTAATTAAAGATCTGTTAGAAAACAACATTTTCTTAAAATGAAACGTTAAGTTAAATTATCAAAATTAATGTAAAGAAAATTAAGACTTTAATTTTTTACATTATTAGTTCTATAATTAGAAATTAATCTGATATTAATTCGCAATAAATAATTATTCAATTTGTTGTGGAATTAATTGTAATTTAGTCCCATAATAATTCAGTTTTTGAACGTTCGTAGAAGGAAACTATTTGTAAAAGTGAATTATATTTATGTATTGAAATGCTCGGTATTGATCCAAGTTATTTTCATATTAGACACACGTCTGATTCTTAGAATTTTATTGAATTTCCTGAAACGAAATGTGATTTCAGAGAATAATACATTTCATATGTAATTCATTCTCTGCTTTAGATCAAACTTTTACTTTCAGAATAAATTTATTGTTCATTTGAAATATTTCGTAGTTCTTTGAATTTTTAACATTAGGAGTCGAAATGGCGAAAATAGAACAGAAATCATTATTATAATTATATAAAATGGAACTATACAAAATGTATGTTAATATTGAAGCATTATTGGTCGAATGGAATAGAAATATTAAGAAATGTAATGATAACTTTGTTGAAATTATTAATGTTTGTAAATCAACAGAAATATTATGAAATTTAAAGTTGAAGTAATGTTGATATAGTCATAAATATAACCGTTGGGGAATGCAATTTTTAAGGAAGAAAGATTTGGGAAGGAGCAAAAAGTGTCCTTGCTATCAAATTATTATTTGTGTCATCCTTATATATTATATTTGAAGTTATCTCGTAAGGTTACTAACATTCCTAATTGCATTAGTGCTTGCTGTATTTAATTTAACTAAGTCTTATACGCGAAGCCAAGACGCCATTTCGATGTTATAATTAAGTTCATTAAATCCGCCCTCTGCCGCCGCCCCAAGACGTTCCCGGTCCACCCTAAGGGTAATTTGCCGACATAAGACGCTCGGGCAAGGAGTACATTCCGGGCGGCAAACCTCAGAAGACCCTTCTCGCAACCCTCCGGTACATTTCCCAACAAAAATCACTGCTGCCCATTCACTTACAAAACCCTTCTTACACAACGATTCTCTTAATCATATTCACGTTCTTATATTTGCAGACGGAGCAATAGATTTTTCCGGATCGCAGACGATGAGAACATCCTCGAGTCCTCAGGATTCCGACATCAGCGACACCGAGAGCGACATCGACATCGTCGGCGACACAAGCAAAAATTATTACAAGAACTAAATTTATATATTTAAAAAAAACAGCACTTGTAAAAATTTAGTGTACTTTCGGAGAAAAGAAAAAAAGCAAACAATGTATTTAACAAGTTGTGATGATGTATTTTTTAGTAATTAGCATAAGATAATATACCAAAGAAGGCGGAATGTTGTAAAATGTAAATTCTTGTAGATACACACAATTGGAACAGAAGCAAAATGAGCGTCGATTTCGAAACTGTAGCATTTCGTTTTTTTTTTTAACTATTGGAACCGAATTTGTTAATAATATTATTAATAATAAGTAGACACGGCAATTGAATTGTAAAATAAAAAAATAGCATCTTTATTAATATTTTTCTTGGGTTTTTTAATAACATTTCAGAAAGAAAAAGAATGGACACTATATGCATACATAATATACATTGCTAATAATTACGGTAGCAAAAAATAAAAATAAAATAAAGAGGGGGGAATATATTTATATATATATATAGAATATTAATTATCTTCGCTGATCCCGCGCGACTCTCGCTTAACTCTTTTCGAAAGTATTTGTATGCCTGCATTACGTAAAACTTGTTATGCAATTAAAATTAATGATAAAATTAAAAAGTAGCGTTTTACAGAACGTCGATTATGATGATGATAATAATCTTCCTATTTTCTTGTAAACGAAAGTTACGAAATATTTGTTTTTTTCAAGAACTTCAGTCGTTGATAGGTGGGAAGACATTTGATCAATGGCCTTGCGTGTGCCGTCGATTAATTTTTAGTCGCACTGGATCGGCTTTTGCTGCAAAACAGAAATCGCGACGTAAATCCTTAAAAAAAAACATTATGATATTTTATATATATATACATTTCTTCTCGTGTCATGTTCGCTATTAATTTTAAAACAAAACAACAGAAAAATATCTTCGTTAAGGCACATAAATTCTTCTCTGTAGCACCTGACTTTTTTTCCCTAATTAATAATCGTGCGTCCGTCTTCGTCTCGTTTTTAAGGCAAGTATTTTTTTTTCTCTTTTTCACTCCAATCTCCATAAATATATATATCCAATAATTAAAAAAAAAAACGTATATAGAATCACAATTGGTTAATGATTATAAATCTTCGAAGAAGGCGACGCGCGATTTCGTCGATCCAGATTTGCTCTTCTTCAGCGTGGAATACTTGTTCTCGCCCAGCTGCACCTGCTGCTCGTGCAGCTTATCCAGATGATCGTTCTGTTTATCGCCAACTTTCAGGACGGCGATCACAGTACGCAACTCCATCAACTGATTCTGCAGATGCTTCGATTTCTGCCAGTACTCCTCCCTGAAAACACTCAGTTCAATGCTTTGTATTGGATAAAACTATAGGAAACACTCACTTGTCTTTCTCGATTTCCAAGTTGAGCTGATCCGCATCGGCCGTCGAGTACAGATCGTACGCTGCTGAATTTAAGTTGAGATCTGGTGAAGAACGCGCCGGCTCTGGGTCATTCAAATCCGGCGACTGTGGGCTCAAAGGATTCGAATACAAACTGGATACACTCTAAATCAAGAGAACACAATGATCATAATTTGTGAATATATTTAAGGTAAGGTAGGTGAGACTCACATTAACGGAACTACTTGTGTAATTGGTTTTGAAGAAATCTAACAGTTTCTCCTTGGCTTGTTTCTCGGCGGCCCTCGCCTTCAGTAGTTCATCCTTCAATCGGCTCGCTTCTGCAGCTCTCCTCTCTGATTCCTCCACTAACCTAGCAGTCAACAGTTCAGCATCCCGCGTTTTCCTCTCCAGACTCACCTAAATATTGATGTTTCATTATAATTCGATAGAATTGCAAACATTTATATAATGACGGTAAAGCAGTATAAGATATTGATGAATGTCTACAATTGTCAGACAAAGAAACCAGGAGTATCAACATATCATGTAATGTTATGTACTTTACTTGATATTACGCATTAATTGGAACAATATGTACAATGTAATTTGACTGGTGCACGCATGCTTTTAACAATTTTATGTAAGAATAATTAATATTGGTATAGAAAAAAGTGTTTACCTTTTCTTCCTCTGATCTCATGGCATTCAAACGCATTCTAGTAATTTCCTGTTCAGCCTCGGAAGCCTTCTGACTCAAAAGCATCGCCTCCTCTTCGGCCACTCTACTTTTCTCAGCTAAAAGATCGGCGCTTTCCTCGCTTCTCCTCTATAAATTGCAAACAAAATTCAACAATAACCAAATTGAAGTAATTTACAGTGCAACATACCAGAGCTTCGTTAGCTAATCGCATTTCCTCTTGGTACTGCAACAGCCTCTGCTCCAGGTTAGCCCTCTTCCGTTCGGCCTCGATCCTCAGCTGCTTCTCTCTCGCTAACTGGTTCCTTTGAACCTGCCGCCTCTGCTTCTCCTCTTTGGCGGCGGCCTTCATCTGTTGCAGTTCCATCGAGTCCGGCTTCCTTCGCCTCATGAACAAATCGTGGTTTCCTATGCATAAATCCAAAATCTACTTGAAAGTAAATACACCATAAGCATACCATCTCACTCGACCTCACCAATTTGTTCATCCTGACTTTTTGGCTGAAGAACACAAAGTTCGGCGAGTTCTTGTCGACAGGCTTTATGATAAACTTTTTGTCGTCGAAACTGATGTGCCTGATTTCGGACCAAGTAAAAGTAGTTTTTGGTTGAAGCTTATTCTCCTTCTCGTAAATGTTCAAACCCAGCGCTGTCACGCCGAGCCACAGATCAGTGTCTTTTTTGTTCTAAAATCAGAAGTTTTAATAAGGATAAAAAATATATGTAAGGTGAACTTTAATACCAGTATTGGAAAATAATTTACTCCGTACATGTCTAAGTCTTGCGCGATTTTCAAATACTCCATTTCGGCCTCGTCTCTGGACATTCCTCGATGATCCATGTACCAGACTTTAATCCTATCCTCCCACATTTCCAAAGTCATTTGGTATTGGTCTATGACTCTCTGAGGTAACAAATCTTCACTAGCTAACATTCCTGGTTTGAAAGTGTCTTCATCAAAATCTCCAAACTGATATCAATTAATACTTGGATTCATTCAAGGATATTTAAGTTTACCTTAGCTTGAACAGCATATGAAGCCAACAAGACTGAAGCTTCTGGAGGACAGTAAATATCCATTGATAAAATTGCTTGCTTCACTTGAAGGAAGAACAAATGTTGGGTTACTTCTTGCACCAACTCCTCAGCCACCTCTTCAGGGTAAAACTTCCCAAGGAACATAAATGTAGCTGAGCTCTGGTTGTCCTTCTGTATGCTCTGGTTTTGAACTGAAACATCCACATATTATCAAAATGTGTAAACTTTATTGTAAACAAAAAAAAATATTACCTTTCTTGTCAAGTTTAAGCCAAGAAATAAAACCTTTGGAGTCTTCATATTGCAACCCAAAATACCATGTCTCCCTGAGTCCAATTGTCCTACAGACCAGATCAAAGAGGTCCCTACCTGTTGCACGCCACTGAAAGATGAGAACAATGAGTACACTTCAAATCTAAATGGGAACCAGTATCTCACCTCCAAATTGAACTCCAATTCAGCATCCAGGGAACAGACCTTCACAGGGAAACTCTTGTCGGACTTCTTCCTGCGAAATGGTGCCATCTCAATCGCCAAACTATTGGAGTCTCGCTTCGCGCACAAACTACATCACTCGATTATTTATTACTCATAACAAACATTATTATTATTATGTGCACATAACATGAAAACAGGCTTACATCGAGGCTAGCTGTCAACAATGGTCAGGGCAATAGCAGGAAGGGAAACTGCAAGAAATTTAACACAGAATCGGCATTGTAAATAACAATTACAGCAAGTATGCACAAGCACGTTCACGATAAGATTACACATGCATTCCACACTGTTTTTGTATACAGCGATTATGGAGCTGTTGCGTAAATTTATATTAACTGATATCATGCCATACATTTTTTTTTTCTAACTATTGCGAAACTAGTTGCATATACTCATCAAAGGAATCTTTCAAAAACTACAGCCTTCTCAAAAATACGATTACATCATCAACTATCCTCATCTTTAAACCCACAACAGGTGTTATATTTTAAAGCTTAAGTCTGATATTCAATGAAATAAAATAGTTTTAAACTTCATGTGAAGATGGTTGCCTATGTAAATATTCTAAAAAAACAAATCTAATTTAATTAATGTTTGTAAACAGGATATTCACAATAAACAAACTATGTTTATTAAACAATAATCTAAATAAATATAACCTTTGAATTTTCGCAGAAACTCCTGTAAACTCGATTTTTTTTAATATCTTATCAGTACAATAGAGCGATAACATAGGTTTCCTCATAAACCACTATTATTGGGATTATGGTGGATTATGTTGAATGTAAGTAACTTGATTCGGTAACGTTATATAATTGAGTTATACGAATGATAATAACTCAATAAAAACTATGCACGATTAGTTTTAATTAACTGTTAATTGATGCGACGTTCCACAAATTATACAATTCGTAATTTGAGTTGGCAACGTTGGGCGTGTAAGGAGAAAAAGATAACTTGTGGCAGTTTGTGGTTTGATACCGGCGAGTTTTGATGCGCCTATGATTCAGTATGATGTGTTGATATGACGTGAAGGCGAGAACGGGAAGTTTTTGTTGTAGATATTTTTTCCAGTGTTTGTTGCAAATAAGTTCGGTTGTTTTGGGTTACGAACATGGGACAGAAGAATTCGAGGACGGACTTCGAGTGGGTGTATACCGAGGAGCCCCATGCCAGTAGAAGGAAAATCATTCTAGGTTAGCTCATCAATTTTTGTCCAAAAAAAAGGACTATTAATAGTTTAGTTTGATGGTAATCAATCATTAGATGACTGTTGACTTCCTGGTAAACCAGGACTGCTTTTACAATCTTTTCTGTGTGCACAAATCAAAGCTAATTGATATTTTAAACTAATTGTAATTTAATAGCTTTGGTATTTACAAACATATAGAGCTGTAATAATAGTATTTTCAAGATGAATATTAATGTAATTTGTATGACATAAATAGAATAATAGATTGAACATTTTGTTTTTATCTTATGACATACTTTGATCTGTTTGAGAAAATCACATGTTACCACTTGTTACTTTAGTACTGAGAACTTCAAACTTTTGTTGTCATATTTTTAATACTTTTGAGTATAAAATAATATGTATAAAACGTTTAAATTGAATTACTTTATATTTACTTGCAAATTTGATACGCAAATATTGAAGTACTTCTAATTTAAACAACGACCTTGAACTCCCACGTATCCAAATTTAGGGTAATTTGACCGAATTGATGTTGGTGGCAATCCTTTTGCCTCGGCCTGGATACGAAATGATCACGCACATGCATTTGTTATTCATAGGATGTTCTAATCTAATGGTATAAATCGCCGATATCGTGATTATAACATGAACTTACACAATATTAATATTGTAAAACAGTAATATAATATGAATCGATTCCTTTTTTTATTGATATCCTTGTAATCTTTTCTATTCTCCCTATAGTATTCAAAATACATTCGCTAAATGTTATGCTTTGGCTTAAAGCCAAGACGTTTTGGGCCATTACATTCAACATCTAAAATCTGATATTTTAAAGAATGTCATATGCTATGGTCTAATAAAATGTTATTTCTAGTTTAAAAAGTCCATATTCTATAATACAAATTCATTATCAATTTAAAGTACTGAAAGTATTAACAAACTGTGTCTGTTTCAGAGAAATATCCGCAGATAAAGAAACTCTTCGGATATGATCCCAACTTCAAATGGGTCGTCGCGCTGATGGTGACTATACAAATGGTGATGATGTTCGTGATAAAGGGTCAATCCTGGCCCGTTACACTCTTAGCTGCTTACCTATTCGGCGGCGTCATAAATCACTCACTTATGTTAGGTAAGTCTAAATCTTATCTCTATCTTCAGAAGGATACAGAAATAATCATTTTCACTCTCAAAACCGTATCAAAGATATCATTTAAAAATATAATCTAAAAAGAATGGAATACAGTAGTAGATACAAACATTGAGCGATGTTGCGTAAATATTGATTACTATTTGTAGTGGCTTATGACTTTGTCTATAAAGAAGCGCTCAATTATTAACATTGCGTTTTAACATTTTCTTATCCAACAAATGTGTATGTTTTTATAGTGTGTTAACTACATAATGAATGAATAAACGGAAGTATTTATGATTTATAAAGTCGCGTTTATTGAATGCAAAGCATTTGCACGCATTATAAGAAAGCAAATTGAATATTAAGTTGTTGAATGATAGATTATGTAAATATTTATTATTTTAATAATAATAGGAATAATGAATGAAATACACACAGTAAGATTTGTTTTTACTTTAAGTTCAGAAAAATATTTATGTTTTGTTGATTAGTGGAAATGCAACGCAATCAATAAAAAAAACGCTTATTACACGTTACGATTTGTATAAAAGCATTTCCGATAACAAGTATTAATATATAATGTTCATGATTCAAAGCAAATACCATTCATATTTTAGGTAATTTGTAAAAGCTACGAAAATGTATGTAATAACAAGTAATATTTTTTAGTGTAATTAGCAAAACTAATTAAAAATATTTCTGACTGTTTGGACTTTGATATTTTGTTCTGTTCGTGCATGCAATATGTTTTCTCCAAATTACGTAATATTCACATTCGGATGACTCATAAACACGTATTTTATATACACAAATTTAAAAAGTAGATTCAAAATTAGTGCCGGTAATAAAATAATTTCATATGATCAATGTGTTTATTTTTGTTGTTATAATGTTTATTTTGTTATTTTTTTATCAGCTTTGATTATAGCCGTAATTAATATGGATCTTTCTATAATTGGCCTCTATTAGAATGATTGTTGAATGATGGATAGAATAAACAAGAACAATTAATGTGTTCAATATATTGGAAATCTATAAGGAAGCAATCTTATCTATAGTGCATGCAAGACACGAAGCAAATATAATTATCACATGCGAATTTGCACGTACAGTAAGATTCAAGGTCGACAGTTGAATATAATGTTATATTTTGTTGCAGCAATACACGAGATTTCACATAATTTGGCGTTTGGTCACGCCCGGCCTTTTCACAATAGACTGTTCGGATTCTTCGCCAATCTTCCTATAGGATTGCCGGTTTCTATAAGCTTCAAAAAGTACCATCTGGAGCATCACAGGGTTAGATGTTTTTATTTACATCTAGTTTCTTGTATTTACAAATACTATTTTTTTTAGTATCAAGGTGATGAATTGAGGGATACAGATATTCCTACTTATGCTGAGGCGAAGCTGTTCTGCACAACCTTCGGGAAATTCATCTGGGTCATCCTACAGCCTTTCTTCTACGCCTTCAGACCCTTGATCACCTATCCCAAACCACCAGAGAAGCTCGAGCTGGTCAACACCGTCATCCAATTGACTTTCGATGGAATCGTTTGGTACTATTTGGGTGAGTTCATATTTAGAAAGTCAAAACTTATTTTTGGTCACATGTTCCACCGCTACTTAGCGGTACTTTAATTACACTGTTTACTACTTGATAAGAATATTAATTATTTCGTATCTGATATGACTTTCGAGTGTTACTGAATATTGCATGAGCTCTGTCGTTGGAATATGTTTAAATTTCCAGATTTGTGCTATACCAAAAGCTTCAAATGATATCCTTAATTGTTTCTTTATTTTAGGTGGACGCGTGCTCTGCTACCTGATATTCGGATCTGTTCTCGCCATGGGTCTTCATCCTGTCGCCGGGCATTTCATTTCCGAGCATTACATGTTCAAGAAGGGTTACGAAACGTACAGCTACTACGGCCCTCTGAATTGGATCACCTTCAACGTGGGTTACCATAACGAGCACCACGACTTTCCCGCCGTTCCGGGCTCCAGACTGCCAGAGGTAATTGTTGCATGAGCAATGCTTGAAACTATTCCTTCGGTCATGTTATTGTGCGTCTAATGTAATTGGCTGAAGCAATTTCATAGATCAATTGGAGCCACTTACGCGATGCCCTCGACGCGCGTCTCTTACATAAAAAGTCATCTCAACTCAATCGATTTCATACAAATTCTGTTATAAACATCTAACGAGACGCGCTTATCTGTGTTGCTGAGGCTCGAATCACCAGATTAATATATAATCTGTACTTAATCTGTGATTTCAATAACCATTTGAAAGCAGCTATGATTCATTGAATCAATCGATTATTATTTTGCAGGTGAGACGAATTGCAAGCGAATTCTACGACAATCTACCTCATCACGACTCGTGGTCAGCTGTTCTATATGATTTCATAATGGATCCGGAGGTGGGTCCGTACGCGAGGATTCGGCGAAAAGCCAAAGGTCTAAAGTATTAGAGAACATTGTGTTAATATTATATATATAGATTTATATACATATAGAGAAAAGAAGCGACGTTTTTATTTTTAATATATTTAATGTATATTTCCTGTGCCAGTCATTGTATGTGTGTTTTTGTGGGATCGGAAGGCTATGAAATAACAAAAGCTTGGGTTTGACTTGAATCCAAGTGGACTGTCCTAAAATATTTTTTTCCTTTGTTGTTGTTAATTTTCATACATCTATTTTATGTAACTTTTACAACTCTCTTAGCTTTTGTAAACTGGTATATATTTAAACTGAAAACTCCAAACGAAAATAAATCGATGTTATTACAAAAAAAGAAACTATTTATTTTTTATATTACTTTAATATTAATATTAGAAAAACAACTACATCATATATAGAAAAATATAAATTCAGTCGGAACAAATACTTTGGTTTCAATGTATGTGCAGTTTATCGCTCATGTCTCTTCTGCTTCTTCATTTTCACTATTCTCGCCCTCTTCAATCATTTCCTACAATTAAAATATTTAGATTTGTTTCATAAAAAAAAATATGTTTCATTATTGAAATACCTGCAACACTTCAACCAGAATTTTAGATTCATTCAGCATCTCCTTGCAAGTCTTGTTCTCATCCTTGAGAGTTTCTACTTCATCTTTCAAGGATTCAATCTCCTTGAAACTGTCATCGAGGGCTTCTCCCCTCTTCTCTGCCAAGAGCCGCCAGTAATTCTCATTGGTCTCCTCCAATGTTAAATCTTCAGCAGTCACAGCAACAGCTTCTTCAACTTGAACAGATTTGTTTGTTGTCATCTTCTTGCATTTTCTTACCAATTTGTCATTCCTGTTGGACAAATACAATTGTTGAGAAATGGAAAGGTAATACGGAATGCATTAACTTACTTTGCTTTTAAGTCAGTTCTGGGTCTTCCAACTAAATTCTCTTTATCTGTTCCATGCTGTTGAAGATCATGGAATTTTTTTCTGGTATTTGTACTTTCCTATAAAATAGAAATATTGCAATATAAACTTTAGATATCTTTTTTCTCGAACTCACTTGGTCTTTGGATGCTGTCTTCAAATTTACACGTTTCTCATTTACTTTCATCATCTTTCTTGGGATAAATATTAATCGAAATTTACAGAGTATTAACGAATTTTAACCTTCGAGTAGACCATCAACAAAAAATTAACTGATTTTTGTTTTGGCGGTTGGAAGACATGCGCGTTATAAATACTATAAATGTTTGCCTATAACTTAAACAAGAGTATCTTAAGTTGCCTAATCTATGTATGCTGAGGAATTAGTAAACATAACCTTAGTTTACAATAAATAGTGGAGTTATGTGCACTTACGTTTTATAGCTGCGATGCCTTTCAAGAGACAGGTATCTGCAAAGGTCTTTAAGGCCATACAGACTGTGAATATTGAAGAGTTGGCGAAATGTTCAGAGGTGGAAATAAGACCAGTTTTACCATGTTTAGTGAGGATGAGTTTAATTTCACCTTTGGACACTTCAAAGAAATGTTCCAAGCAGAAAATCGACATACTAACCATAATATCAGGCATAGAATGGGTGAATTCCATTGTGGCTTTGCTCTCCATAAATTTTCACGTGTTGGAAGCTGATGTTAAAAAAGAGCAAACTTTGAGACAAAAGGTTGGAGGAAATCATAGTGAATCAGCCTTAATTGGGAGTTTACCAAATGGTCTGGCTTTAGAATATGAAAGATCTGACATGACCAGAAGATTAAGGTAATTTAATTGTTATTAATAACTCTTTCAATCTAATTTTTAATTGATATTTGCAGATTGGTCCTGAGTGAGCTATTGTTTATACAATCTCAATATCAAGATTCCGAGCAGGATCAAGATTTCTTCATGAAACCATCAGAGCTGTTTGATAATGAAATATACATTGAGGAAATTTCTGATGTGATTTGCATTGCATTGGCTGAGCTGCCAACATTGTTGACAGTTTTAGGAATTGTTGAGACTTTGCTTCATGTATCAAATGGATCTGCCATCATTTGCAGAATCGTCGCGAACTTTCCAGACTGCTTTAGAGAAGGTTTTTGATTAAAAAAAAAAATGCTATTAGTTTCTAATTCCTTGTTTTTAGTTTGTACACAATTGATTTCTCGTGGCGAGAAGCAAGAAGAGAATTTATCCAGCGCTGTTAGAGCAGCCACAATTTCGATGCTCTGTAGGATGAATCCAGCTCAAGCGTTAGCTGTTAGAGGCAAATGCGTGGAATTATGCAGGATGCCTGCATTGGCTGTTACTCTGTCCTTATCATCAGATTATACGTGCGAATCAGATATGGTCGCCTTTATTTCTGGTTTACTGCTTGGCAATGATCAAGCGGTAAGGAATTGGTTTGCTATGTTTATAAGGACTGGACAGAAAAAGAAAGGCGAAGTGAGTAGCAACGCGCTTCAGCAATTGAGAGATGAACTGCAGAGACGGCTACAAGCTATCTTGAACGAATCATCAGGAGGACAACTTCCTGATGGTTTGGTTGTTCAGGCTTCAGCTTTGCTGAGACTTTATTGCGCCTTGCGTGGAATAGCTACAATTAAGTAAGTTGATATTTGTAACTTAACGAAGATTGTCTTCAAGTGAGTTTTCTTTCTTAGGTTTCAAGATGAAGAGGTAATTCTACTTGTGCAATTATTGACGTCCCATCCATCGCCAACACCTGCAGGCGTTAGATTCGTTTCTATAGGTTTATGTATGCTTATAGCATGTCCTTCGTTGATTTCGATTACTGAACACGAAAGAAGGAGCATCGAATGGGTATGTCCTGGAAATTATAAAAATACGTAAGATTTATTTAATTTGACTTTACAGGTACAATGGTTGGTTAGAGAGGAAGCTTATTTTGAATCGGCGAGTGGAGTGTCCGCGTCTTTCGGCGAAATGTTGCTCCTGATGGCCATTCACTTCCACAGCAATCAGCTGAGTGCTATATGTGATCTAGTTTGCTCCACTTTGGGTATGAAGATTCCGATTAGGCACAACAACATGACCCGCATGAAACAGGTTTTCACGCAAGAGATTTTCACGGAGCAAATAGTGACAACACATGCGGTCAAGGTGCCGGTCACAGTTTCACTGAATGCAAACATGACGGGTTTCCTTCCAGTTCACTGCATTCACCAACTATTAAAGTCGAGGGCTTTCGCCAAACACAATGTCAACATCAAGAACTGGATCTACAGACAGATATGCGTAGCAACTAATCCGCTCCATCCAGTTCTTCCTTTGCTTGTCGAAGTATACGTAAATTCCATCATCCTTCCCAACAATCGGAGTGCAGAGCAATCCAATAAACCGCTGAGCGAAAACGAGATTCGCCGAGTTTTCCAAAGCTCGATCTTCGGTAGATACTTCAACAAGAAGAGCTGTCAATTCGGTATGACCGATAACGAAGTACAAGATGTTAATATTTCCGAAGTCACCTTAACACCGCAATTGCTACTGCTCTACTATCTTCTTCTCTACGAGGATACTCGTTTGACTAACGCCAAAGATCTGGTAAGCTCCGGACGGAAAATTAAGACTTATTCCGTGGAATTCTTCTCGGAACTTCCCATCAAGTATCTGCTGCATCACGCACAGAAGGATCAGAGCTCTTATTCGAGTCTGTTCGGGCCACTTCTCAAATTATTGGCAACGCATTTCCCGCATTTGACTCTAGTCGATGACTGGGTCGATGATATGTCTTTCAAAACTACAAACCGAGATTCGTTTATTAGCGAAAGCGAATTGCTCGAAGCTTTGAACGGCATCGAAGCTAATCCTTCGAGATGCGCAAAGGTGTTCCAAACTTTGCTAACTATCGAAGCTATCGATATTTGGCCTTACGCTGAGATTATAACGCAGTATTCTAAGAATATGTTGGGTTTGCAAGTGCCTCGGTATCTGCAGGATTTGTACAAGGATGTTTGGTTCAAGTTAAATACGGTTTTACCGCGCAGACTATGGGTTTTGACTGTGAAGAATCTTGTTGGTAATTTGACTGGGTTAACAAGAATAGACGTAGCAGAGGATCCACTACAGGTATTGTTTAAGCAATTTTACTTTGCCAGATTTCAATAGTATTTTCTTTCTTGTAGATTATGCGATGCGACGAACGCGTCTTCAGATGCTCTCCAATATTTTCTATTGTGTTGAGAGTTTTGAGAGCAAGTTTAGCATCATCTCGTAGTCAGCTTACACAGCATCTTCAATCCAATCCGAAATTGGATCCTTCTGGGCAAGTGATTACTGGTGACAATGAAAGGGAGGAGATGTGTAGAGCGTTAGTTGCTGCACAGGTAAGATTCTTTTAAATATTTTATAACTTTCTAACAAAGATATTTGCGCAAAATGAATTGAATTTGAATAATTTTTGAGTTGTAACAAAAGTTTTTGAAGCTAACGATGTATGCAACATGTTGAACATATGTACAATTAAAGTTGTCAACATCTTAATGTCAGATTAGTCTAAACATAACCTATAAAAGTAAGTTAAGTGTTGTTTAGTGTAACTGCAAGTATCCAATTAAACATGGGTCGAAAATCGAATTATTCTGAACCCAGCAGTTCGAAACAAAGACATGATCATAAAAGGAGACGAGAAGACAATGAAGATGTTAAATCGAAGAAACATTCCACTGTGGATATAATTTTTTATAAATACGACTTGAACAACTTTTTAGAGGATCATTGTTCAATAAAGAAGAGTGATGATTTCTGGACGTTTTATGCTAAATATTCGGCAGCACAAGAACTGAAGAAAACCAAAGGTATAACATTTGATAGTAGCAAATTACTGAATATTGATTTTGCAAAACCAGCCAAAGTTTTGTATGAGAAATTACCTCTGTATACGAAGCAAGGAGAAAAGATGCACATACCTTACAACAAGTTTCTAGTATTATACAGTGCAATGAGAACATATCAGGATTTCCAGCAGAAGATGAATTTTGCCAAATTGAAAGCTTTAAGGAATGCACAAAAGGATTTACCAATTGCACACTACAAAGAGGATATAATTAAAAAAGTGCAGGATAATAAAGTAATTTTGATTGCTGGTGATACAGGCTGTGGTAAATCTACACAAGTTGCTCAATACATGATGGAGGCTGGCTTCAAAAGGATAGCATGCACACAGCCAAGGAGAATAGCTTGTGTTGCTTTAGCAAAAAGGGTAGCTTATGAAACGTTGGCCACTTACAAAAATAAAATTGGCTTTCAAATTCGTTTTGAGAAGGCCAAAAATAAAGGCACTAATGTTATTTTCTTAACAGAAGGTATTCTGTTGAGGCAGGCGGGTGACGACGTGATGAGCACTTACGATGCTCTTATATTGGATGAAGTACACGAGCGGCATCTGAACATGGATTTCCTTGTTGGAATTATGAAATGCCTGCTCCATAAGCGTGACTTCAAGCTAATCCTCATGTCCGCTACAATTAATCTGCAACTTTTCGAAGCGTATTTCGAGTCTGAAGGTGTGAAAACCATCAAAGTACCAGGAAGGTTGTATCCGATTGAACTTCATTATAAACCTATAATTAAGGATCCTTACGATAAAAAGAAATCGAAATTTGATTGCCAACCATATCTGAATATCCTGGAGCTCATAGATCAGAAGTACAAACCGCAAGAGAAAGGAGACGTTCTTATTTTCTTGAACGGTTTCAACGAGATTAACACATTGGCGAGTGCAGTCGAGTCTTACGCTGAAATTAAAAAGAATTGGATAGTATTGCAGCTACATAGTACCTTGTCTTTAGAAGACCAGGATAAAGTGTTTTTTGCTCCTCCTGATGGTGTTAGAAAATGCATTATTTCCACGAACATTGCCGAAACTAGTGTTACGATTGATGGTGTAAGATTCGTGATTGATTCCGGGAAAGTGAATCGTATGATTTACGAGAATTGCGGAATCAATAAACTCTTTGAAAGTAACATTTCTCAGGACAGTGCGAAGCAAAGATCTGGCAGAGCTGGAAGGACTGGTCCTGGTATATGTTACAGATTATATTCAGAGAAAGATCTGAAGAGCTACGAGTTGTTCACACCAGCTGAAATACATTTGGTTCCTTTAGAAAATTTGGTTTTAAATATGGTCACCTTAGGTTTAAGTGATATCGAAGCATTTCCTTTTCTCGAAAAACCCAAAGAAAGTACGTTGCGTGCAGCAATGGAAAGACTTTCGTTTCTCGAAGCATTAAAGACGGATGATTCTGGTTTATCCTTAACAACTTTAGGGAATTCCATGAGTCAATTACCAGTGGATCTGACTGTTGCTAAAATGCTTATTATGTCTACAATATTTGGTACAGTCAACGCCGTTTTGGCTTTGGCCAGTTTATTAAGCGTGCAGAATCCGTTAATGGAATCTAAATTCTATGAAACTAGAGATTGTAGGGCTCCATATGAATCCGATCACGGAGAGCCTATAACATTATTGAACTTGTATAAAGGATGGTTACAAGTTAAAAGGACTGGAGAACAATCCAGGAATTGGACGAAAAGTCGCGGTGTCGAAGAGCAGCGGTTTTATGAAGTGACAAAGTTGATCGAGCAGTTTCGTGATATTCTACAGGATTCAAATTTGATTCCGAAATTGGATAATGAAGTTATGAGCAGTTCGGAACGTGTTATTCGCAAAGGTGAATTGAAGCGACTTCGAGATTTGAGAAGGGAATTGAAAACGGATTCGCGGGATACGAAGAGGAAGAAATTGGAAATGTATAACAAAGAGGACGATGATACGAAAGATATAAAAGATTTACGAGATGTCGAGTTTCGTATTAGTAATGATTTCAATAAACTGCAGCAGCTTTTATCTGAAACGAGGACGGATTCGTTTAAGGATTTGATGCTTTTGAAGTTGATCTTGACAGGCGCTTTGTATCCTCAAGTCGCTATCGAAGATGAGTTTAATTGTTCTAAAACTGTTAACGAACGTCTCTACCACACTAAGATCAAGAGTTATGTGTTTCTTCGACCTACCAGTTACTTCACACTAAATCCGACTTTCTTGGAATTGAATGATTCTGATATTGATGTGCCTCCGAATGGATACTTCAGTAAGAAACCTTTGAGTCGGAAACATCAACTGTTGGTGTTCCAGAAGGTTTTGGAGACGAAGAAGACTTACTTGATGAACGCGTTTCGCATGCCTGCTTTGCAAACTTTGCTTCTTTTCGGGCGAGTTATTGGGACAAACCGAACACTCACAAAATTCGTTTTCGACGATTTCATCTTGGTGAATTGTCCCTTCTTGTGGCAAGGAAAAGTTATGCTTCTCAAATCTATAAATTTGAGAAAACGCTGCAAAGCTGCTTTGGAGAAGAAACTGAACGAGAAAGAAATCGACGACACGGAATTGGTTAACGATATGATCGAATTTATGCAGGCCAACATAAGTTACAATATAAAGCGATTGTTACCTGCAGACATAAAAGTCATTTATACTAGAGAGAGAAGTATGGAAATGAAAGAGAATCCTTTCGATAAAGATTTCGAACCAGCTGAAAACGAATTGGGTGGATTTAACGTAAGCCCTAACGTGATTTACAATTGCCTGGAATCTGATGGTTACGATATAGAAGCAGAAAACTCTTTGATCTTAACGCCATGTCCAAAATGCGGAACAGCAAGCCTCAACTTCTTGCTGTATTTAGCACACGATGAAATCTGCAATAAGGATGACCCGAAGAAGGTAGTCGCATCTAAAACATATGAAGCACCTAAACCGAATTCTCGGAATTACAACTGCGATAGATGCGGGAAAACGATGTTGGTAACTCCGGTGGAGTTCCTGCGTCACAAGAAAATTTGCGCAAATATTAAAATCGAGAAAGTTTAAGTTTTTTTTATGAACTAAATTATTTGTTCAATTTAATTGTGATATGATGAATGTTAAGAGACTGAAATGTATATATTTTCGATTTAATTAAATTAGGATAGTGCCGCTGTGCAGATGCTTTTGGAAGCGTGCTTAGAAACAGAAGAGGACAAGAATTCGAGGGCGGCAAAATGGGCGTTGCAAGAGGTTCGTTCATTGGTTTGCTGTTACCTCCATCAAGTGTTCATAGCGGATCCCACTTTGGCGAAATTGGTGCATTTCCAAGTGAGTTTTATCTTGATTAATTGAAAAATTGGATCTATAACTTATTTGTATTAGGGTTATCCTGCTGAGCTACTAGAAGTGACTGTGAAAGGTGTACCATCAATGCACATATGTTCGGACTTCCTGCAGGAATTGCTGCAACAGCCGAGTCTCAAGAAACAAGTGTTTTCCATACAACTGCTCTCGCATTTATGTGTTCAGTATTCCCTTCCGAAGAGTTTAAATCTCTGCGTCATCGCTCTCAACAGATTATACGCTCTACTTGGAAGTAAGTTGTTTTAAAAATAGTGTATATTTAATTTGTTAATGTGCGTTTCTTCAGGTATTTCCTCATCGCAAAGGATCAAACTGTTCAAGCCAGTGTTACCAGCTTTGGTGAGGTTCAGCACAGCTTTTCCACCTTTGGCTGAAGAAATCGTGCAGCTTCTGCTGCAACTGGCGAAGATCTGCGAGTCGCAAGCGTCGTTGAGCTCGCACATCGACGTGCATCTAAGTCGCAGCGAAGAATCAATTGCTAGGGATAGCGAAGAATTAAGAAACTTGACACACACCACCTATCTTCAAATCTTGGACGACTCAGTGCTAAGTACAGAAATCTATAATTAAGCATCTTCTCTAATAACAAAAAAAATAAATACATTTAACTATCATTAAGAATTACTCTTGCTGTCTTATTATCCCTACAAATTTATACCTTAAGGTTTGTAATTAATTCTCAATACATTTTAAAACATTTTTATTTCATTTGTTTTCTCTCTTCTTTACATTTCATTACAAAAAAAAAAGAAAAGAAAAACAATACTTCTTTGTTTCTTCTTCTATACATTGATTTATTTACTTAAAAAAAAAAGAGTTAAAGAACCTAACTGGGGTCAAAGAACTAAGTCTTGTCATGTGAATGTTTTCATTTTTTTTTATGTACAACACCTACGTTGATGTTCAGAGCGTTCCGATCCGAGTTTAGGTTTTGTTATTACAGGCTTGTTTTTTTTCTTCTTCAATATTTAAGGTCCAATTCAATTTCAAAATTGAGGGCTGATCTATGAGATATGTTTGAAATTACAATGTTACATCATGTTCCGTTATCCTTGCATTGTTTTTTTATACACATTTACAATTTAAAAAGAAAACAATATTAGACATATATATATATAAAATTGGAATCGTTTGTGCTTTTCTCTTTCAAAAAATTATTTTTTTTTTGGTTTTGTAGTTTCCTATCAAATTACAAAAAATCTACCTAGGTTTATTTATTATTATTATTATATATATAACAATTACTTGATTTCGCCTTCGAATTTATTGTTACAGTAATTATTATTTATTTTTTAAATGCGCTTTAATTAATTTTATGTTTTGTAGAGTTTGTTTGGCGCACCACACGTAGTAGAAAGGAACACAGTTTTGTTTACATCATCTTTCTCATCTATATAATACACAACAGAAGCGTAGTACAATTAATCCATTCACTTTCCCTTATTTTGATTACATTATAATTAAAAAAAATATAATAATAAACAAACAAACACAACAGCCTGAGAGGTACGATTAGAGAAAGATTTTTCTATATAAAATAAAACGAAAAAAAAAAATATGGGGAAACGTAATATATAATATATAAACATAAAAAGGGTGGGTAATGAAGGTAAGATAAAAGCAATAATGGCAAAATCTTCAACTTTACACGGTTGAAGCGAGTAGGGCGAAAAAACGTCCTTTCTCTTATTATATATAATTTTTCTTGTTGTTGTTGAGATAAACTAAAAAATAATATTTATATATGTATATATGCGCTTTATAAAAGAAAAAAAAAACAACAACAACAAACAAACAAAGAACTCTTCTCTCGCTCTTTCAAATTATTATTTTTTCTCTTCATCTTCGCAAATTAATAATTCTGGTTCATTTGTTGGTGTGTCTGGGGCGACAGAGTAGATGTTAGCAGCACTTCTTTCGCGTTTGCTTATTGCTTTTGCGGAGGTTCACTGTGTCCGTGTTGGTCACCTGCTGGCGCTCCTTCATCTCCTGCTTGGATCGCAGCACCAGCCGGGTCACACTGAGGAACATCTCCTCCACGTTTATATTATCTTTGGCTGAAGTCTCGAACAGCTGGATGCCCATCGTCTCGGCGAATCGGCTCGCGTCCTCCGTCAGCACAACTTTCCTCTCCGGCTCATCATTCTTGTTACCCACTGAAAAAAACAACAACAACAGGTGATTAAGCAATCTTTCAGCAGACTAGGTCTTCTCGCAACGCTTCTTACCTAACACTCGATTCACTACGTCGCAATTCTGGTCTATCTCGTGCAACCACCGTTTAACGTTCGCAAAGGATTCTCCGTTTGTAACATCGTAAACGACTATTACACCGTGCGTGCCTCGATAATAACTGAAATAAATCAAAATATACTTTCAAAATTTATCAACATCTAATTAAAACATTTTTTTAATTTTAAGTACAAATATTCAATGAATGTCTTATTATATAACAAAGTGATAAACAAATATTTCCTAGTTATAAATGCAAAACAACCACTTGTATATTACGTAACAAAAACGATGAATTATTGCTACTACATACTAATCATATCACAATGTCTGATATGTAAATATAATCTATTTAACCATTTCAGGATGTGCATCACAAATGTGTTACGTAAACATATGGATAGGATGTGTTTACAAGACCTAAAAAAAGCTTACAAACAGAAACTCCATAAGCGTTTCCTTACTTAAACTTAACAAAATAGTTTGGAAATACAGTTTTCCTTTAAAAATTGAAAATTGCATTTGATTTTAATACAAGAATGTTACTGAAGAAAAACAGAATTTTAAATACGTTTTATCAACAAACAAAAATCAATACATTATGGTATAGTAATTTTTGTATATTAAGCCGACGTTATTGCGCTTGATCTTAAATATATATAGGGTTTGACTGAGAATCCGTTGAAATTGCCGCAGAATAAACTGAAATCATCTGTCATCCCCCATTTATATGGAAACCGAAGTCGTCAGACAAATATTTTATTGATATTTCCACGAAAACCTAAACGCAAACAATAATTTCAAGGGCGAGATGAATCAACGGCTTGTTTATATTCAAAAATAGCATTAGATATCAATATCAAGGAATGAACATCTTGCGATTACATTTTCAAGGCCGACGAAATAATGCAATTCCAAAGCAAATTATTTCAAAAATAATCATCTCGTATCCACTCGTTGTTTAAAAGGAATTTAGGATAAAAACCACAAGTACAAAAGCAGAAAATTCAATCTTCAAATACTGTAATTTCATCTTCTTGATTACGACTTTCAAAGTTGTGCATAATGTCTATCTCCAATACAGAAACTGTAAATTGGAAGTCGTATTTGTACAGAGCTTAAAACATGCTTTGAAAGTCTTAATAAAGAAATTGAAAAAT